AGCAATGGAGGTGGGAAAAAGCAGCAGATGCTTGACTAAGGATTGGTGACCATGGATTATGAACTAAAACATCCCAATTTAATGACATAAAAAAAGTTTCAGAAGGACAGTCTCTAGGCGAGTGTTTCTCAACCTTGGCGACTTTAAGTCCTGTGGACTTCACCTCCCAGAATCCACCAGACAGCTGGCTGGGGGATTCTGGGAGTTGAAGTCCACAGGACTTAAAGTCGCCAAGGTTGAGAAACACTCGCCTAGAGACTGTCCTTCTGAAACTTTTTTTATGTCATTAAATTGGGATGTTTTAGTTCATAATCCATGGTCACCAATCCTTAGTCAAGCATCTGCTGCTTTTTCCCACCTCCATTGCTTGGCTCACAGATTCTCACTGCACATTAGGATTCTTTCTTTTACTCGTAACTGTTAAAAATAAAAAAAAATTACTAGAACTGAAACGATGAAGGAAGGTGGTGAGAAATCAATTTTTTTTTTCCATTCCAAAGAGCTTGAGGGCACGACGGCCCAGTTGCATTACAAGGAAATCAGATAACTGAAACTGCCCTTATCATTTGAAGGATCGCATTCCAATTTCATGTTGAGACGTATCTGAAATGTGCGCATAAATAGGACTACGACTAGGGAGAATCCATTCAATCTTGATGGAAGATGTTGCTAAATGAAGACTAGGCGCCTTCCCTATGGTCTTGTTACTTCCCCTACAGCAGCTTGGAGTACAGAGGTCCAAATCTGCTCACTGGCAAAGAGTAGTGGCAATAAATAAGAAGATACGAAGAGAGAGCAGCCGGTTTCTAATCCCTAGGTATCCAAGCGGCAAAGTGGGCTATCGTAGACCATCTGCAGATTGACTTTGTGACCAACTAATTCCCGGATGTTATTGATGCCATATTTGATCATGGTGGGCCTGGAAGAGAACAGAGAAAAGTCTCACAAAGGATTGGCTGGAAACAGTTTAACTATTAAGTACACACCCGTTTCAAAACGGCAGACAATCTGAAGCAGTTGCTAACTATTGCCCCTCCCTGCAAAAGGCAATAATGCACTGAGTCACAATGGAAACTCAAGGAAAAAGACAAATAACCACATGGACAGTTAGAACGGAATTCACAATACAATGTCCACCTATCTGCCCCCCCCCCCAACCACTGGGGATCTATCCTACCCCTACAAGGACCGTCCTTTGGACTGAAATCCTATGGACCAAGGCACTGATCTAAAAGAACTGATTTATGTCTGCACAAAGGAAGTGGATGAATTTTAAAAAGGGTTGGTTACCATCTTCCCATACTGTAGGTATTTAATGGGTTCAAATGTAGACTTTAATGATTTCTTAAAATAGGATTTTATTTGGACAAATGCTTATCTATTGTATCAATATGTTGTGTTCTTTGAGGGTGAAGCTTTGTCCTCCGAGCTTGTGGGTTGGTTTCCGAATGTTTCATGTTTCAGGCCCAGGTAACATTTTCAACGGAGTTTAGAGGGGTTTCAATGTCAGTGTCCTTCTCTTTGTAAGAGCTTCGGGTGTGGGTGCGTTATGTGAGGGTCAGGTGTGAGTCCTCAGTTAGAATCTTGTGATGGATAGGTTGTATCAGGTGAGAGTCATTGGGAGGGATACTACTAGGGGGGGGCTTGTGTGGGTTGGTTGAGAGTAAGTGCTGTCTCTAGTTAGCTCTGCAGTTGGGTTCTTTTCCCCCCAGAATTACTCTTTAGTTTTCTTAGTTTCAAGTTTCAAGTTTAATTTTATTTATAGGC